TGTTATTTATATACCGTTAAATTAAAAAAAATATATATTGTGGCGGCATATATGTCTATGGAAGATAAGGACTACGAATTTTAGAACCATTGTTTTTAAAATAAGTTCGTAGGTTATGATATTTTAAAAATTAATTATTAATATTAAAAATAAAAAAATTTCAAACCGAGCCTAGTTCGCACCTATTTCTTCTGACTAAGTGGCCATGAGTTCGAATCCCTACCCTCACATGTTGTATAAAAAAATAATAATAATAATATTAAAAAAAATTTACAGTTTCCACAATCTTTTATACAATGCATATTTGTTACACTATTAATTGTATTCTTTTTATAATTAAAAACTCGCAGGTTGAAAATGTGCTTGACACCATTTTAAATTTTGTACCGTTAGAGATTTATATATAAACTTAATATTGTCATCAATTTGTTTTTTGAAAAAACTAAACGTTTCAAGGAATAATTTTTATATGTTTGAATTAAAATAAGTGTTTTAAGTATTAATAAAATTTATATTTTTAGTTAAGCATAACTCAGTAAATAAAGGCATCTAACTTTTATATATATATATATATATATATAACCCATACAAATTGACAGCAAAGTACAATCAACAAAATAATAATAAACCAATAAATAAAATAAAAAAATCACACTTTTTTATTTAAAAAATAAACAAAAATGAGAGGGCTGGTTTTTACAATGCTGTACATAGTTCCATCCTCAATCATTAACCAATAAAACTAAAAGTATACTGCTTTTGCAAGCCTGCTAATTAAACCCTATCTCTTTTTTTCTTTAACAAAAAGGAAAAAAACCAATTAAAAAGAATTAGATAACCACAAAAAAAAAAAAACGAACCAAAACTGCTCACATCAAACCAATTTTGAAAGAATATAGCACACAACTAACTCAACTGCTAAAAAAGCTACACATTCAAACCCCAACTACGAACAGCTCTGAGTTTGTTTGGGAGCAGAAACAGCTTAAAATGCACTGACGCTATCCATTATGAACTCTGAGTTGCACAGCTGCGGAACATCGAATTTTTACCCCCATCAATCAATATTAGTATAACGACTTATAGAAGAACGCTGAAGAAAACGAACCGTTACGACATCGCTACCGGCAACCAAAACTCGAAGACGAGCAATCAAAGGCATTGTTAGCAAGGACTGGAGATCTAGAACAAATGCAGGGCCATTTTGAGTTTGTTCTGCTTCCATTTTGGTAGCTTATGGAAAGCATCTTTTGCCATTCCGAACTTCTCCCTGAACTCCGACGATGACAGGTATGCCTGTAAACGTTTCAAATTCCGCACGTCAGAACTCAACACGACATTGGTTAAAGGTGTTGCTAGTTTTCATCAAATGGTTTAACTGGTGATTGATTGATCAATTACCTCTCGCTTTGTTATGTCGATGTCTGGAGCTGGATTGCTTGATAATGTTGTAAGGGATTCGTATGGATGTATTGTTAGGCCTTCCTCATCTTCAGCTTCACCCTCTTTCACATCTTCTTCTATGGTGAGAGATTCTAATCTGTTGCTCATCGAGTTCTCCTTGTTGTCCGACTCCGGTTTTGGCTTGGAGGCATCTAGGCTCCCTTGAGAAACACAAGAAAATCGATTCGATTAAATTAGAAGATCATAATGGTTGTAGACAAATCGTGGTGAAACTTAGATTACCCCTTAAAGAGCGAGGTATAATAGCTTCTCGGGCGGGTGGTGGCTGTTCAAAACTCGCACTAAGAGCTGCTATGGCAGCATTTTTAGAAGCCAGCCTTGATGAATCAGGAGTAACAGATTTCGGGTATAACCTTCTAACCATCGGTGGAGGGGTAGATAGATTTCTAGCATTCGGGTTCTCAAAGTTTGCAGCTAATGCATTGAACGCTGGCGATCTTCCTCTCACGCGAACTCGATCAGGACTGAACGACACACTCCTCGAGCGCTGTGATTTTTCCGGCACACTACTGGACCTCCCTCCATACATTACCGGAGTTCTCCGCTTCGGTTTCTGATTACAAGTTATGTGGCCATTAGAAAAGGAAGGAAAAAAAAAAAAAAAAAAGAATGGCTAACTACACATAGTAACAATTTCAAACTAATAGTAGTTGATATGCCTTCTCAAATATCCTTTTAAGATGAGAAACTAGGTAGAGAGAGTTCATTTAAGGACCTCTTATTCTAATACTGTGTCGTGTCATTTATAACTAATCCCAAAAGCTTAAGCCAGTTCGATAAAGGTTGTTCTATTCATTTCACTTATTCTAAAAATCTTGTTGAGAGCAGTAGTTAGATCTGAAAAGTAATAGTAAAAAAAAATGGGACAACCAAAAATGACTCACATCTACAGTAGGAGTACCGCCATTTCTGACTAATGCAAGCTTTCTCTGGAATGAATTTCCGTGCATCTGTATTCAAATTATTAAAAGAAACAGAGAAAGGAAAACCAAATAAAATAAACAATCAGAATATTCGCAGAGTTTAGTAATTAATCAGTACTTAATTAGCATAAAATCCTTACTGCAGATTTTGCAGAGTCCCACGAAAAGAAACGGGTGAAAAAGGGAGGCTCGTTTCCTTCCATGACAATATATATTGGAGCTTCACGTGATAACTTTTCGAGAAGAAAATCAATCTCAAGAAATTTCTGTCGACAGTTTGGAAAAAAACCAAAATAAGATGTGACCAGAAAACCACCAGTAGAAGACATTGTAGCACATAAGAGTTAATGATTGACTCGAAAATTTTAATGAGGATTCAATAGCCTGACAATTGGTCGAAAAAAGATGTCGAGTGCGAAAAATAGTTCTCATAATTTACAACTAGAAACGTACCTCGCCAATATTTAAAGCATGTACTTTAGTCTTGGGGTCAACCTGTTGACCAACCCAAACAAAGATCTCGGAGTGACAACTAAGAATGTCGATATCTTCTGTCATCAGATCATCTTGGCCAAAGTTGTATATCTCAGCAACCTGCGATAACATAAATTTTAGAGAAGATTTTGGAAAAAGGCATTGACCATTGACTATATGTAATAAGACTTGTTTACAGCACAGAACACAGGAACTTTGATGCATTGCTTCTTTTTCAAATAGGGAAATAAGAACACCAGTTTAAGTTTCAAAACAGATTTTAATGATACATGTTTCTCAGAGAAGATTGCAAGAACTAAATAAGAAGGGAATACCTTCAAATCTTCTGCAAGACGCCACCATTTCCGCAGCGAAATCAATGCCAAGAACAAAGTTAGACTTGTAAATGAAAGATGATACTAACAAAAGACTAGTACATCTTAAAATCGAAATACAATTATCCACACCTTTAGCAAAAGTGCAAGAAAACAGGTGTGGATCGCTCTCATTATTCCGTGAAATTTTCTGGCTGGGGTATTCCACTTTTCCTCCTAACAAACCCCAAAAGTGTTCAGATTCTGCACCTTCCTTGTGCGGCCTGGATTGACAGTTTGGCTGCAGAAAATTGGGAATCATATGAGAAGAAATTTCCAGAGATGGCCTTCAGATGTACTATGAAACAAGAGTGGAAAAGATAACAAACTTTCAAAGTAATGAATGGTTGACAAAAATTCTATGTTCAATTGAATTGATCATCAACTTTTTATCCAGAAGCATTTTCATTTTACATAGGGAGACCATCTCCACAAAATCCCTTAATTAACAACATATGATTTACATATTCTAATGGCAGCTGGATTCATAATGGGCACATCACTGACAAGTAACAAGTAATTCAATGATTCTTATCATAGGAACTCAACCATCTATAATGTTGTGTTCATAAGGACATATAACTATCACCTTTATCACATCCAGAAATCTTTCAAGAAGTTCCTGGTCATCTGAGGTGGTAAGACTTCCACACCAAGTAAAAACAGTAGAGCCACTATGTAAAATGTAACAATAAGAGGAATTCAAAGAGGATCCGACCTGATGGAACAAAAGAAGAAAAA